CGTAACCAACACCGTATCCTCTAACCCATTATCCGAAATGATCTTTATTAACGAACTTGTCTCAGAAACTAGAGGAACATACCTCTCAGGATGAATGGTTCGCTTCCGATACTTCACATAGCGAGCTTCACTGTCGGAATTGAGAAACTGCTCAGAGAAAGGAGGTGATGATGGCTCTGACTGTGACGGATTAGCAGCCTCAACACGTGACAGCTCATACCGGTACTTGCTTCGCGGATCAAGAGGATCGTAAGGAAGCTTGTTCTTGCCTTTGATGAAGCGCCTCAAGGAGACATCAAGGGTCGCAGCATATGGAAACTCCCAATTCCACTGTGTTGAAGACGAATCGGAAGCAGAATCCGAGTTGTACAGGCTGACTGGAGGAGATGGCACGTGCTCGGGTGGTGACGGTTCATATGACGATGACTCTTGCTCGGAATGTGACGATTCGGTCGGAGATGGTGCAGACGGCAGCGAATTTGACTCCGACGGTGAGGATGAAGACTCTGGCGGCGTGGTTGCAGATGGTGGCGATTTACTCCTCACTGCCATCGGAACTTGAGGCTCAGAGGAAGATGAGTCGTCTTCTTCGTCGGACTCCGGTACTGATTCTGCACAGGTGAGATCGATGGATTTTGCGGAGACACTTGGCATGGCGGCGTGACGGCGATTTGTCTCTTCGGCGAGAGCTTTGAGCTGTCCTCGAGTTCGAGCTCGTTTCTCGGGCGGCGGAGACAGATCGGGAGCACGGCGACACTTGACAGAGACGGATCCATGAGGCGGCGATGGCGGCACGAGGAGAGGACAAGCGACGGTGGAATGGCGAGGTTCCGGCAGGCCACGATATCGAGCGGACTCTTTGGTTCTCATGGTGAACAAAATTGGAAGAGAAAATGACCTAATTTCTTCGATCCCCTTTCTTAAACCCTCTATATTTTTTTTTCTGAAATTAAACCAACACCACTAAACCGAACCATAAGTGCAAACCAGGTTTTTTAAATGAAATTAACCCAAACAATTGAAATCGACATACACAGCCATCAAATTTTGTCTAACTTAAGGACTTCAAGCAACATAGCAACTGAAGAGTACAACCCATTTTCTGTTCAAAACCCTTAGGGAGGAGATCAAAAGTTACCTCAGACATTTATGAGCTTCCCCTTCCCTTCTGTGTGTGTGCTAGAACTTGATCCAAGACCGAATGCAAGAAACAGAGGGATTTTGAATTCTTAGTTGTGTGAAAACACCTACTTACTTGTTCCAGCATGAAAATTCATACAGTTTTCATCATGGTTAGCATGCTGACATATCCCAAGAAGCAGTCTTCATCAGCGATGAAGAGCAAGATCACGACTTAAGATCTTGTAGAAACGAGCACCAACTTTTCACAATGAGATTTGGGTTCAGTGACATTCCAACCAGTGTAGTTGTGATTATCTTCGAGTTTCTTCACCTTGACTCATTTTCGACTCCACTTGAGTTTTTTTTTTTTT